CACTAGTGATCCCAGTGGTGCCCTCCCCTTACCAGGGAGACAGGCTCCCCACTCTTCAGCCCACAGTGCTTGTGCCTCTGCAAGACAAACATATCCCTAGGCCACCCAGAGTACACAAGAGAGGAGGTGAAGCCTGGGGAGAAATCCCACCCTTGGCAGCTCATTTATGATCAGGGTCATCTGATCAAGGTCAGAAACACCAAATCATAGTCCTCAGAGGTGAGGTAGGGAGGAGGATCAGGAGAGTGTGGTGGGAAAGAGTGGAGGTCCAGGGTCGGTGTGGTTGGCTTCAAACCCTGTCACTGCCATTGACCAGCAGTGAACCTTGGGCGAGCTCTCCCACTCTCTGTGCCATTTCCTTGCCTGAAAATGGGGACAGTCACTGCACACCACAAAGAGTATTTCCGAGAATAAAAATGGGCAATGCAGGTCAAAAACAGAGAAGAGCAGACAACAAAGGTGCAACAAAGGTACATTCGTACATATTGGCCAACTCAGTGAGTTCTTGACTATTTACCAGCAGAATTCTTCTTCTTTTTTTTTTTTTTGAGACAGAGTCCCGCTCTGTCACCCAGGCTGGAGTTCAGTGGTGTGATCTTGGCTCACTGCAACCTCTGCCTCCCGGGTTCAAGAAATTCTCCTGCCTCAGCCTCCTGAATAGCTGGGATTACCTGCATGTGCCACCACACTGGGCTAATTTTCATATATTTTTTAGTAGAGACGAGGTTTTACGATGTTCGTCAGGTTGGTTTCAACCTCCTGGCCTCAAGTGATCCATCCACCTCAGCCTCCCAAAGTGCCAGGATTACAGGCATGAGCCACCGCACCCGGCCTTATTCTTTAAAATATGCCCTAAACAGAACATTACTGGAGAATAGCTTGTACAGGCCCAAGCTCTAACCAGTCAGCTTTCCCTCCCCACACTTTGCATCCAAAATGGTTCTTGAAGCACCTCCCTAGAGCACAGGTGGAAAAATCACTGCTCCAAATCCATCCTATTCTCAAGAGTGGGATTCCTTCAGCAATGCTCCTGGCAGGACATAGCACCCACAGAGGGCCCCTTCAAGGAGGGCTCTCTGTAGGAAAGCCAGACATTCACACCCACCAGAACCCTCCCAGATGATCGTGTTGGGAGCACGGAGCTGCTGGAAGGATGCCAGCTCCTTTCTGCCATCTGTGACAGAGCTTGGGGCTGAGCTGGTTCCTCTGCCAGGGATAGTGAAAACCCAAGCTCCTCACACTCCCCTAGGCTGGCTCCTGCCATTTCTCCCCACCGTGGGCAGTATCTAAACACTCTGTTGATGGGTACCTTATGGTTTCCCAGGTGGTCCTGCAAGGGACCAGTCATCTCATCAGTGGTGGCTGACCTGATGCTGGGCAGAAACCTGCCTCTGGGTAGCCTCATCCATTTCCCCTCTGGAGCTACAGAGGACTAGGTTTCCCTCAACCCCTCCACCCGCACCCATCTGGCATTGCTTTGGGAGATGATTGCTACATATAAAAGGAAAACAGTTGGCCAGGCATGGTGGCTCATGCCTGTAATCCCAGCCCTCTGGGAGGCCGAGGCGGGTGGATGACTTGAGGTCAGCAGTTCGAGACCAACCTGATCACATGGCGAAACCCTGTCTCTACTAAAAATACAAAAATTAGCTGGGTGTGGTGGCAGGCACCTGTAAACCTAGCTACTTGGGAGGCTGAGGTACAAGAATGGCTTGAAACCCGGAGGTGGAGGTTGCAGAGGTGGAGGTTGTAGTGAGCCAAGATCACACCACTATACTCCAGACTGGGTGACAGAGTGAGACTGTGTCTTAAAAAAAAAAAAAAAAAAAAGACAAAGTGAGCTCCACAATAGCTCACCCTGACCTTAGCAGTTACCTTCCTAAAAAAGCTCCCTCCCAGGTAGGCAAGCATCATGGATAAGGCCAGGGTAAAGAGGAAGGAAGGTCAGAAGGCTCAGGAAGGCCGCTCTTGTGTTTCCTGAGTTCTCAAATGACTTTCCCAGTGAAGAGCAAGAACCTGGCCTCGTCCCAAGCCTGGTCTTTATTCCTTGGCTGGTGTCTGCAAATGTTCTGACACACAGGCCAAGCCTCTCACAGCTCCCAGCGCACACTTGCTGTCAGTGGCTTCGGGCTTAATGACTTGGCTGCCTTCACTCCTCCACCGGGCAGTGTGACAGCCATCAGTCCTCAAACCGAAGGCTGCAATTGATGCGAGGACTTGAAGAAGTGCTTCAGAGCCAGGGCCACTCTAATGAGATTCTGCAGCAATGCCGAATCAGATGTCAGAGCCTGGGACTCAGGCCTTGAAGCATTCGATGCAAAAGTTCTAGTCCCCCTCACGGAGAAAAGGATGAGCTCATGGTAAACAGCCTCCAAGACTCACTGCAAAATACCTTCTCTATGGTGAAGTCTCCCTCAATTCTGTTCTCACAAGTTTCCCTACTAGTTTACCCCTTTATTATAGCCTTATCACAGTCTGTTTTGTTTTGCTGTTGGTTACATAAATGTTCATCTTTCCCATTAAACTGTGGAAGTGAATATCGTGTTGCATTTATTGTGGTATTAAACCCCAGAGCTTAGGACATTGCATTTTCCGTGGCTATGCAAGGATTTTTTTTTTTTTTTTAATTGAGATGGAATCTCATTCTGTTGCCCAGGCTGGAGTGCAGAGGCATGATCTCGGCTCACTGCAACCTCCACCTCCAGGGTTCAAGCAATTCTACTGCCTCAGCCTCCCGAGTAACTGGGACCACAGGCGCATGCTGCCACGCCCAGCTAATTTTTTGTGTTTCAGTAGAGATGGGTGTTTCGCCGTGTTGCCCAGGCTGGTCTTGAACTCCGAGCTCAGGCAATCTGCTGGGATTATAGATGTGCGCCACTGTGCCCAGCTGGCCCGTGGATATTTAAATTGCATGGGCAGCTACTCTACTCACGTTTCCCAGAAGGGATCAGCTAAACTCCATTCTGGACCCAGCTGAAACTACTTCTTTTTTTTCTCTAATTGCACACTGGTATAGTGGGAAGAGGCCACGCAGCTTCAGAGGTACTCAGCACCTGGCCTGTAGAGGACCCCAGTGGAAATCTGTTGATTAGATGCATGCATGAATTAATAAGATGAGATGCAGGAGAGGCATCAAAGAGGGAAGATCCAAAGTGTCACAGTTTGGGTGAACTGAATCAAAGCAGCCTGCACAACAAAGGTTCATTGACCACAGGCTTTTGGACTGAGGCTGGAAAATGCAAGTGGCCAAGGACACCCTCGTGCAGGGAGGAAGCATACAGGCTTTGGATTCAGGCAGATCTGGGTTGGGATCCAGCTCTTCCGTTCACTAGCTGTGTGACCTTGGATAAAGTTTTCAATCCCACCAAGCTTCAGCTGTAAAGCGGGGTAAGCGTCCCCACACCACAGGGCTGTGGGAGGAGGAAATGGAAGGGTGCTGGTTACGCGTGCTCACATACTCCTTTGCACACAGTGAGTGCTCAGTCAATAAAAGCTTTTGTCATCGGAACAGCTCTAAGCATCCACGTGGAGCAAAGGACCTGGAGGCAGAGTGGGGATGGAAAAAGACTATCCCCAGCCTTGCCTTTCTACAGAGAAGCTCAGGAAACAGGACAGGCGGGTATCTGAGCTCCTTGGGCCTATTGCAACATCTGTTTGCCCTGCAGTTTTCTCTGGAGGCTCTCCAGGCAAGTGACAGGCCTTATTTAGCACAGCAAGATGATGGAAGCTGACACTGGCTAGCTGAGCAGATCTTGTGGTTCCTCCGCAGATCATCAGCCCCAAGGAGTACCTTATGGCACTGATTGCCTGGAAGAGACGCCCTTACTGAACTATCATCCCTTGGCACCTCCTGAGCTGCTGTCTTGCAGTTTTGATGGATCTCTTTTTTTTTGTTCTCATCAGAGTTAGAATTTTTCCTGGTTTAAGAGGGAAAAGATAAGGCTGGGCGGTGTGGGTGATGCCTATAATCCCAGCACTTTAGGAGGCCAAGGTGAGAGGATTGCTTGAGCCCAGAGGTTCGAGACCAGCCTGGGCCACATGGCAAAACCCCATCTTTACAAAAAAAAAAAAAAAAATTACCGAGGTGTGGTGGCATGTGCCTGTAGTGTCAGCTACCCAGGAGGCCGAGGTGGGAGGATTGCCTGAGCCTGGAGGGTTGAAGGCTGCAGTGAGCTGTGATCGCATCACTGCACTCCAGCCTGGGCAACACAGCAGGATCCTGTCTCAATAAAGAAATAAGAGGGAAAAAATGGAATCAAACATACTATGTGTCAAATACTGTGCTCACCCTTCCCCTTCCTCGTCTGCATGAGCCATGGGTTAGTGCACCCACTCTAAAGATGAGGAAACAGGAATAGAAAGAATAGGAAGCTTGACTAAGGCACAAGCTCGCAGTGGTAGGTCCATGCCCAAAGCACATGTCTTCTCTCTGAAAAAGGAGTTTTGCCAGCATAGGCTCTCTTCCCATAGTTTCGGGCCAGGAATGTTGGTGCCAGCCTGAAGGCTCTCCACTATGACCTTGTTAACCTCACAGAAACCCGCACGGAGAAATGGGTTAGTTTGGAGGACTTGCTGGAGAGAAGACAAGTGAGTAAGTCAGCTCTTATTTAAGGAAGAATCAACTCTGCAGCATGCCCCAGTTTCCCATCTGTGGAATAGTCTCCTGTCTTCTTTCCAGCTTTTGGAGATGTTGTAAGGCTGAGTGACAGTACCAAAGGGGGGCATCCCATGCTGCCCCGGGGTTCCCCCATCCAGTCTAAGACTTGCATGCAGTCCCCACCCCACCTCTCTTGGTCCCTTGTGTTTTGTGCTCTAACAATCCCATCCTGCTCTTCATCCACCAGCCTCCTTGCCCTTCTGCCCCAGTCCCTTTGCACTGCCTCTTGTCCCTCTTGCAAAGCCTTTTCTGATCCTCACTCTGTAAGAGAATCATACCCTCTGTCTTGATTGTATTGGTGGGATTTTAACTGACAGAGGTTACCAAGTGACAACACGAAGAGGCCAATGCCACTGAAAGTATTTATTATGTATAGTTTCCAAGAGAAAGGGGCACACTACGTCTTGCAGGACCACATGGGGAAGCAGCTGGTAGGTCGTGAGGCAGGAGGAGCCAGGACAAAGTAGGGCCCTGATTGTGTTTCCTATGGGAAGGAAGGGAGGAAAGCACAGGTTGAGTGGCTGAGCTGGTTGAAGATTGGCTGGTTTGCATGATGTTCGTGGTCTGGGGTGATTTAGGGCAGTGGGAGTATTGGCTTGGTGTGACAGTAGATAAAGGAGGTGGTGGGGGATTGGGGAATGAATTGGCTGACGTGCACGTGAAAGGCAAGTTCACAGGCAAGTTATGTACTATCTCTAGGAATTAGCTAGCCCTGGGAGGGACAGTCTCTTCCAGGCCAGCAGGGCCCCCAAGATGTCAAACCATCATAAAATACAGAAAATGAAAAACATAGCCAGGTGCGGTGGCTCATGCCTGTAATCCCAGCACTTTGGGAGGCCAAGGCAGGCGGATCACCTGAGGTCGGGAGTTCAAGACCAGCCTAACCAACCTGGAGAAACCCCGTCTCTACTAAAAATACAAAATTAACCAGGGTGGTGGCACATGCCTGTAATCCCAGCTACTCAGGAGGCTGAGGCAGGAGAATCGCTTGAACCCAGGAGGCAGAGGTTGCGGTGAGCCGAGATCGTGCCATTGCACTCCAACCTGGGCAATAAGAGTGAAACAAAACAAAACAAAACAAAACAAAGCATGATTGGCTGGGCACAGGGGCTCACACCTCTAATCCCAGTGCTTTGGGAGGCCAAGGCAGGAGGATTGCTTCAGTCCAGGAGTTCGAGACCAGCCTGGGTAACATAGCGAGACTCCCATCTCTGCAAAAATTTAAAAAATTAGCTGGACATGGTGGTGTGCAGACTGTAGTCCTCGCTATGTGGAAAGATCCCTGGAGTCCAGGCGTTCAAGGCTGAAGTGAGCTATGATTGCACCACTGCACTCCAACCTGGGCAACAGAGTAAGACCTCCAAAAAAAACTTTTTTAAAAACATGATTAACACACCCTCCTCTTTAACCTGGGAGTGCTTCTATGACTGAACTCAGCACACAGTTGGTGATTTTTTTTTTTTTTTTTTTTTTTGAGATGGAATCTCCCTCTGTCACACAGGCTGGATTTTAATGGTGTGATCTCGGCTCACTGCAACCTCCGCCTCCCAGGTTCAAGCGATTCCCCTGCCTTAGCCTCCCAAGTAGCTGCGATTATAGGCATGTGCCACCACACCTGGCTAATTTTTTTGAAGTTTTAGTAGAGATGTGGTTTCACCATGTTGGCCAGGCTGGTTTCAAACTCCTGACCTCAACTGATCCGCCCGCCATGGACTCCCAAAGTGTTAGGATTACAGGCGTGAGCCGCTGCACCCGGCCCACAGTTGGTGATTTTGTTTGCTGTGTTTTTTTGTTTTGTTTTGTTTAGACAGAGTCTCACTCTAGGCTGAAGTGCAGTGGTACAAATATGGCTCACTGTAGCCTTTACCTCCCAGGCTCAAGCATTCCTCTCTCCTCAGCCTCAAGGTGTGCACTACCACACATGGTTAACTTTTCTTTCTTTCTTCCTCCCTTCCTTTTTTTTTTTTTTTTTTTTTTTTTTTTTGTAGACACAGGGGTCTCACTATTTTGCCCAGGCTGGTCTTGAACCCCTTAATTCAAGCAATCCTCCCGCCTCAGCCTCCCATTGTGCTGGGCTTACAGGTGTGAGCCACCACACCTGGCTGTTTGTTTCTTTGGATGCTCATCTCCCTTCCTAAACTGTGAGCTTATCAAAAGCGGGATCCTCACCTTGTTCATCTTTGCACCTTCAGCACCTGCCATGTGCCTGCTATTTGTCTAGATTGAATACAAGGACTCTCCAGCCTGGCTGCATATGAGAATCATCTGGGAAGCATTTGAAACCCTTCATGTCTAGGCTTCACCTTCTGAGATTCTGGTCTAATTCACCTGGGGTGGGGCCAGGCATTGGTGATTTTCAGGAGTTCCTCAGGTGGTCTACTGGGCAGAACCACTGGGTGTTTGACTTCCCATTGATTTGTTGATTTTCCTGTGAGGAATTCTCTAGAAAGAAAGTAAGGGGATGGTTCCAGGTGTGGTCATTTAAAACACAGCAGGAAACCCAGGACCTGAAAACCAAGTACTTGCCCTGGGCTTAGTTACCTGATTGGTAGAACCTTACCCAAGTGTGAGCCAACCTGGAAGACTTGGGTCTGAACCAGGTGGTGGCCTCCATTATTCTGCAGGCTCCAGGCCACACTTGTTGGGGAAGGGGACGTTTCTAAATCCCCCCAGTGGCCAGGTGTGGTGGGTGGCTCACGCCTACAATCCCAGCCCTTTGAGAAGCCAAGGCGGTGGATCACCTGAGGTCAGGGGTTTGAGACCAACCTGGCCAACATGGTGAAACCCCATCTCTACTAAAACTACAACAACAACAACAACAAAAAATTAGCTGGGCGTGGTGGTGGGTGCCTGTAATCCCAGCTATTCAGGAGGCTGAGGCACAAGAATCGCTTGAACCCGGGAGGCAGAGGTTGCAGTGAGCCCAGATCACGCCATTGCACTCTAACCTGGGCAACAAGAGTTAAACTCCGCCTTAATCAATGCCTCCAGACTGGGAGCTCTGAAGATAGTTGTCAATCCGGTCTCTCTCCTGTCTGTGGCTGAAGGCCTGTTGCTCTCCGTGGTCAAACGTTGGACATCTTTCCCTGGACGCTGGTCTCAGTGGTTCCTCCCTCCAACCTTCTGCACCTGTCTCTGCAGCCTTCTTTTTCTGCATCTCTAGTGTCCCTTCTGCCTGACTCTCTGTGCATCTAGAAAGGCAGGAGAAACGGTAAGATAATTGTCTCCGCAGTTTCCACTCTTTTCCTTAGAATCCTTGGAAGGAGGAATGCTGGCAAACCCACCCATTCTTCTTTTCCTATTCTCTCCTGCCCTACATATCAGCTCCTCCCTGGAACTCCCCTGGAACTTTCTCCAACTGTCTCCCCAACTGCCAACGGCTGCCTCCTCTCCTGTGGCTCTAGGAATCTTCCTGAACCTCTCGAACTCTCAACATCCGCAGGCTCTGATTACCTTAAGGGCCCAAACTGAGGGGCACCCTGGAGGGAGTTTTCTCCCCACGTTCTCCAGGCCAGAAACCTGTCAAGGTATGTACCTTCCTGCAACCAGCACCCAACAGCTCCCACACTGTTCCGGGCAAGTGACAAGGGCTCTTCTCCCCTGTTTGTGTGCGGTAGGAATTTGCTATGAGAGAGAGGAGAGAGAGAAAAAAAACCTTGGACTAGGCAGCTGTTAGAAATTCGTGGGCTGGATGCGGTGGCTCACGCCTGTAATCCCAACACTTTGGGAGACCGAGGCGAGCAGATCATGAGGTCAGGAGATTGAGACCATCTTGGCTAACACGGTAAAACCCCGTCTCTACTGAAAATACAAAAAAAATTAGCTGGGCGTGGTGGCGGGCGTCTGTAGTCCCAGCTACTCGGGAGGCTGAGGCAGGAGAACGGCGTGAACCTGGGAGGTGGAGCTTGCCGTGAGCCAAGAAAGAAAGAAATTCGTGGTAAAGGTGGTGTTTCCGATTTTTTCACTCTAGTGTGATTTGAGCACATCATTTGAGGCATTATTTGTGACATTCTTCATGGTGTTTCTAGGTGCCTGTCTGTGAGCCTCAAACATTTCTCTAATTCTCCTCAGAAAGGCCACTTCGGTGAATTTCTCACTGCCTGAGTTTTGGGCTGTGATGAGCCTCACTGATTTCAGGCAGGCCTTACATCTGATAGATTTAGTGCGTTTCTTTCCTTTGTGAGGTCCTCATTCCCCCTTCTGTGATATAGGAATAAGGATCCCCATTTCCTCCCATCCTGAGAAATTTCGAGGGAACCAGAGATTGACTCTGTCCCTGCCAAGAGGGACGAGGTAAATACATAGCTTCAGTAGGCTCTAAGTTCAATTCTCACCTCCACCAGATGGACAAAACGTTCAACCTTTCAAGGGTGACATGACGGCAGGTGAATGTGTGAGGCACCACCATTTCATAGCCCCTCTGGAGCCTGCCATCCCATGGGTGAAGTGATTCATTAATAGATGCAATGTGCATCTATTAATGAAATGGGTTTATTAAGTCAACCGTTGGTTGCTGAGACCACCAAGCTGGGGCTACCTAAAAGAGGAACTTATGTCCCTAGAGTGGAAAGGTCCTGGCCCCCAGCCTCTGGCCCGAGGCCCTTTGGATAAATGGAGGGGTGAGGGAAAGGGTCAGAGCTGGGTTTATCTCACAGACACTCTCCTGACTCCTGGGGAATATAATTGTTGGGAAAATCCAGCCCTGGAGCTCTCTTCGCCAGCCCCATCATTGCCACCATGACTTCCTCTGTCTTCTGCTTGATAGAAGGAAAGCAACATCTCTTAAAACAGAGCAAGTGTAGACACCCTGTAACAGAGCATTCCCCATTCCTTCCTCCCTTTTCTTAGACATTGCTAGCATTCATGCACTTAACGATCAGCCATAACACTTGAGGCATTCTTGTTCTTAACTATTTTAAACAAACAGTTATCTGTAAGGCCAATTAAGAATAATAAAAATAAAATATTTTCCTTTACCTCCATTTAGTCCATCGTCGATGTTCTTCCCTTCTTTATGTAGAGCCAAGGTTTCACTTTCCTTTTCATTGAAGGGCTTCTTTTAACATTTCATGCAAGGCAGGTGTACTGGCAAAATCTTCTCTCAGTTTTTCTTTGTCTTCATATCCTCTCCACTTTTGAAGAAAAATTCCGCTGGAAACAGATTCTAGGTTGATGGAAGTTTTAACTTTTTAAAACTGTTTCACTCCATTCTCTTCTCGCTTGCTTTCTGATGGGAAGTTTGATGTAATTCTTATCATTGTTCATTTAGAATAAGCCCCCCTGCCCGAGAAAAAAAACAAAGGAAATTATATTTTTATACTTCTGCATTTCAAGACAATTTTCAGATTGGTCATCTGAAATGAAAGGTACATGAAAAGCAACCAAGAGTTGATAACAAAAGATGGCCCAAGTGCATATTGGGTGACTTTGGAATTCTTTCCCTGTCTTTAAATAGGACAATCAAAGGTCAGAATAGTTCCTTTACGACATACGGTTTTTACATGTGCGTGCTTATTTATGTAACGATTTATTAAGCATCTGCTATGTTCATAGTGCTGTGGGGAATGCAGAGACAAATGAGTCCCTCACAGGATGAAATATGTGCACAGAAAAGTAGAGCAGAAGGCAGAAATCAATGAATGGGAGGTGGGAGGAGCAGCTCTGCTCCTGGAGCTTCAGTGAGACCCAGATCTATAATGGGGGGGAAGCATGATCTTTAGGAATTCAATATCCACCCCTCCCTCTCTGATTTTCTCCCTTCCCCAACCCCCGAGGGGTAATGGAGCACCTCCTGGTCCCAGGCACTGTGCTGGTGGCAGACACAGCAATTCCTAGGCTACCTGGGGTCTCTCCTCCATGAAGGTAACAGCCTAGTGACAGAGAAATACCAGTAAATAAACAAAAATGGCCAGATATTATTATTCTATCCTGGTGGAAGCACTGCAGATGCTGTCTGCAGATATGACAAGATACCCAGGAAGGTACCCTAAAGGAAGTGATGTTTAAATAGCACATAAAGGTGAGAAAAAGTAAGCCAGGTAGGTCATGGGGCAGGAGACAAAGGCACCCCTTATAGACAGAACGGCTTGTGCAAAAAGGCCTAGAGGTGGGAGAGAGCATGGCTGATTGGGAAGACGGAGAGTAGTCCACACAGGCTGAACAAGAGGTCTACACAGTGAGGAGGATGGAGTGGCCAGTGTTGCCAAAGGGGGCTCTAGAGAACACTAGTTTCTGGGATTTTTTTTTTCTCTCATTCTACAGGTTGTCTTTTCACTGTTTTGATAGTGTCCTTTGATGCCCAAAAGTTTTCCATTTTCATGGAGTTCAATTTGTCAGTCTACTTTTGCTGCCTCTGCTTTTGGTGTCATATGTAAATCAATGCCAAATACAATGTCATGAAGCTTTTCCCCTGTGTTTTCTTCTAAGAGTTTTGTGGTTTCAGCTCTTACATTTAGATCTTTGATCCATTTTGAATTAAAGCAAGGTTCCAACTTCATTGGTGTAAAGCAAGGATCCAACTTTATTCTTTTGCATGTGGCTATCCACTTGTCCCAGAATCATTTTCAGCACCCTTGCTGAAAATCATTTGAGCACACGCGCGCACACACACACATGCATACACTCATACACACATATGATGGTTTATTTCTGGGCTCTCTAGTCTATTCTGTTGGCCTATTTATCTGTCTTTATGCCAGTACCAAACTATTTGGATTACTGTAGCTTTGTAGTAAGTTTTGAAATCAGAAAGTATGAGTCCTTCAACTATGTTCTTCTTTTCAAGATTGTTTGACTATTTGGGGTCCTATGAGATTATATATAAATTTTAGGATGGGTTTTTCTATTTCTATAAAAAAATTTGGCATTTTGACAGGGGTTGCAATGAATCTATAGATCACTTTGAGTAACTTTGTCATCTTAACAAAATTAAGTCTTCCACTCCATGAACATTGAATGACTTTACATTTGTTTATCTCTTCTTTAATTTATTTTAGCAAAATTTTGTAGTTTCAGTGTACAAGTCTTTCACCTCCTTGGTTAAGTTTGTTCCCACTTTATTCTGCTTTATGTAATCATAAATAGAGTTGTTTTCCTAATTTCCTATTTGAATTCTTCATTTTTAGAGTGAAGAAATACATTTGATTTTTGTTTGTTGATTTTGTAAATTACAACCTTACTGAATTTGCTTATTAGCTCTAACAGTTTTTCTTTTTAAAAAAATTAGAGTTTTCTATATGTAAGATTGTCACCTGCAAACAGATAATTGTACTTTTTCCTTTCTAATTTGGATGGCTTTTACTTCTTTTTCTTGCATAATTGTTCTGGCTAGAACTTTCTATACATGATGAATAAGAGTGGCAAATGCATGCATCCTTGTTTTGTTCCTGATCTTAGAGGAAAACTTGAAGTCTGTCACCATTAAGTGTGTTGTTATCTGTGGGCTTTTTGTATATGGCCTTTATCATATTGAGGAAGCTTCTTTCCCTTCCTAGTTTGTTTTTATCATGGAAGTGTGTTGAGTTTTGTCAAATGCTTTTTTTGCATCAATTGAGATGACCATGTAGTATTTTTCCTTCATTCTATTAATGTGGTGTTATTATGTTGATTGGTTTTTATATGTTGAATCATGCTTGCATTCCAGAAATAAATCTCACGTGGTTATGTTGTATAATCCTTTCAGTGTTGAAATGATCTATGCTAATCTTTTGTTGGGGACTTTGCATCAGAGTTTCTAAGGGATGTTGCTTTGTGGTTTTCTTTTCTAACTTTGGTTAGAAGGTAGGCTTTGGTATCAGCGTAATGCTGGCTTCACAGAGTGAGTCAGGGAGTATTCTCTCCAATGTTTCGGAAGAGTTTGAGAAGAATTAGTGTTCATTCTTCTTTAAATGTTTGGTAGAAATCACCAGTAAAACTATCAGGTTCAGGACTTTTCTTCACTGGGGTATTTTTGATTACTGCTTCAGTCTTGGTAGGTTTTATGTTCCAGGAATTTGTCCATTTCTTCTAGGTTATCAAATTTATTACATAACCAACAACTTTACCCATTGTTTATATTAATCTTTTGTCACCCTTTTTATTTCTGTAAAATACTATTTATTTATATTTTTGTTTTTATAAATTTTAGAGTAATCCCCTCACCTTCATTTCTTATTTTAGTAATTTGAGTCTTCTCTGTTTTTTAATTAATCTGGCTGAAAGTGTTAGTTTTACTGATGTTTTTCAAAGAACCAACTTTTGGTTTTGTTGATTTTCTGTTTTTCTGTTCTCTATTTTATGTCTGTTGCAATCTTCAGTATTTCTTTCTGCTAGCTTTGGGTTATCTTGTTCTTTTTTTTTTTTTTTCCTACCTCCTTAAGGTGTAAATTTAGGTTGTTGATTTGAGATCCTTCTTCTTTTTTAATATAAACATTTAC